CGACAAACTGATCCAATTCCACACATGAAATCTCAATATTTCGTTCAGTAGAAAGATTTGTGATATCCTTACACTCTTTAAATTTTAAGTTACGCTTAATAATAATCATGGATCCGCCTCTACTTAAGCTCTTTCTTATGAACGAACTGACTATTACATAATTTTCTATGTTGTTAATTGCTTCGTAGTCTTTCAGCCAGTGTTCTGTAACACAAAACACGTCAACGGAAATATCGTGCAAAAAAAGACTTATTTCTAATGTTTTGCCAGAAAAGCCTTGAATATTTTGATGTACTACATGCAAACGATTACACTTTTTTATTGTCGTGTTTTTTAGTTTAAATTATGGTTAGTAAAAAGTAAACTGCTACTTAAAGTAGGAGCATTGTTGTGGGACTGTGTATTAATATTAAAATATAGCAAACAGGCTATATGTCCCAGATACCTTATGGGTAAAAGTAAATTATCTTCAAAAAGTTTGAAGTCAAGGGACTTATTAATGCCAAAACAAAATATAACGTCACTATGACGGCAAGTCAAATTATGAATGTGCGAATTTATGTTATATATAAACTTATTACGAGGGATGCCTAGGTTAGAGCACTAAGGGAATGCACTTAGTATGAATTTACACCCACTCTTCTCATGAAATCTCAAGAACACGTCAATGCTACTATTTACTTCTTTTTACTAAAGTTATTACTATCACCTACTTTATGGAATCACTGTTGTACATTTCTCAAAAATAAATTGTGCGCCTGATGGTAAGCTAAACGCCTGTCCATAACCTAACCTAACTAAAACCTTTTAAAATACCCAGAATGTAATGGTATTCTTTTTGTTGGCATTTTGAGTCTATTTCATTTCACTACGTGTCATATATAACATTTTGAATACGTAATTATAACAAGAAGTGATTCACAAGAGGAACTCGGTTAATTTATTACGTTATATGAAAAGTATGTCGTCACTTCAATCAATGTAATTAATAGTATTACATTTTCATCAATTCGCAGAAGTGATCTGTTTTTAAACGTTTTATAATAATATTTTAATTTTTATCGCAATATTATTACGAATTGCTGATAATATCTGGGTTTTCATGATCAACAGTTTTCACAATAAAGTCCAATTTTCGGCTAATCAATTTTAATACTTCTATATATAAAGATAACAATAATGATTGTAATTATAGTGTAGTAAAGGCACTACTAATATTGGAAAAAAAAAACATCCTAAACAAAAGTTGTTTTGTTCCATGACTTTTAATAATTTCATCAGAATTTACGTTCATACAAAAATAAACATATTTCAAAAGATTTGCTCTAAACAGTAATAACTCTGTACCGGATGGGGATGGGTATACGCGAAAGACGCCTGCACATTTGAACTTACCTCACTATCAAATACAGATCTGAAAAGAGTTAGATAGTACTTCTCTAAAGTTTATTTTTGGTAAATTCATTATGTTTTGTAAAAAGTCATGGAACAAAAGTTGTTGTTTATGATGATAGTAATATAGTACCGCAAGGTTGTTAGTATTTTAAAAATAACCCTGTGTATACAATAGAACTTCTTAGTCACATGTTATTAGTAACCTTGAAATTCTTTTTTATATTTGCTTACGTCGATCAAGTTTAACCCACGATTGTCATTCTCGTTATTTTAGTTAAAGAACGCGTTAGTGAATGCTAACAAAACAAGAGTAAATATGACTACTTACTTAATTAATTGTAACTTTTTCATTGAAAAAAAAAAGACTGGCCTCAAAAGTTTGCTTACCGGCTTTTTTCGATTTCCATGGAATCCCCTCATCAGATTTTGACTTGGTGACAAAAAGACCACTACGAGAGCGCACCCTTTTAAACAAAAACAGAATTGTCAAAATCGGTTTACAATTGACGGAGAAATCGGAAAACATACACAAAACATACCTACAGCCGAATGTATAACCTCCTCCTTTTTTATGAGTCTTTAAAAAAACGTATTTTAAGGGTAAGAGTTTACGTGTGTAAAGATTATAGTGTAATTTTTTGTAGCACTCAACAAACGCGACGAATAAGTTGTGCGCCTGGTAGTAAGCGACATGCCTGCCCACAACAGATGCAGTTTTGTGCAGTGCAATATGGTCGCGCGGCGATTGGTTGTCATTCTGTAAATGGTTAATTACTAATAGCAAAGGACAAGGTCGGTGTGTGGCTGCCTTCACAAAAACTGTCAAATATCACATATCTTTTTAATCTTCGGGTTTAGCCTTAGAGGTTAAAAAAGGTTTAGCGTACATAATCTTATCAAAATGGCATTACAGAAACAATTATTTGGCAGGTTCTGAATCTTATTTTGTAAAAAATTGAGCCTTGGGCATTATTCAACTGCTGCACTACAGGCGGAAATGCCAAGATTTCGTAGTTTAACTATAAAGTATGGTACACGTCTACACCATCCAGGTCTATAATATATAACGTTGTCTCCCAAGGCTGTAGATGAGAAAAAACATAGCGTAGCTACAAGTAAATATCTACGAGTCTCCGAACGAGTACAATCCTTGACCGATGTAGATTCACAATAATTTGTACTTTCCTGGGCTCTTATGGTCTTGGTCTTGTTATGGTATAAATAAAATTAAAAAACATTATGTAGAATTACAAATTATTATGTTTTTTTATGTTTCTTTTTTAATGTAGGTATTATATTGTTTGTTTTTTGTATTATCGAAATAAAAATTTATATGCAATACTAAAACTGTGCTTTTATTGAAATTAACCACCACCTTCGAATTATCTACAAGATGCTGTTTGGTAACGTGCTATATTATTTTAAATTCTTAAAATCCCTTAGCAACTGTGCTAATTTTATCCACTTCTACAATTTTTGCAGCTACGTAACCACATGCAAGTACTGTGCACTATGTGCTCTATGTAATTATGCAAGTTACTATATAAATAAACCTCTGAGTTATCTACAAGTCACATTGGTTTCTATTTGTTCTCTTGATTCTCTTTTTGATTGCATCTCTGTGTTGTATTGGTTCTCCGATGCTCATATTGGTACATAAAAACCCAATTTGAAATAAATGTTATCGTAACTGCAAAAACATTGCACTAAAATTAAATTGATAATATGCTTTTGGAAGTAATCTTTAAACTACAAATATGTTTGAGTGTCTAAGAGCAAATGTCATGCGACACAAAAATTGCGATAAATTATTACAGCTATATGTAAGCAGCTATATATTTTTTTAATTTATCAACAATATTGTTGATAAATTTAAAAATAAGATTCAATCTTTTCGATCGCAATTTACATCGACATTACAAAGATATTAATCCTTATTAAGCATGATTATGAGTATGGATAAGATTACAAATTACAAATCATTCAGATTTGAGAAGCTATATACAAAACTTGATGTATATTATAGAATTATTAATAAAAAAGACAGAGTGCGTGTCACTAGTATCAACTTCTATAAACAACAGAGGATATTTTGTAATTTTGACAAAGATGATGTCAATTAAAATTAGTTTTGCGTTAATAATCACATTACTCTTAATCAATTTAGTGTATAGTGATCGAAATAATAGAGTGGTAAATATTCAATGGGAACCCAAACATCCACCCTTCGATCCAAATATATACGAGGAAGTTTTAGACTCGGAGCTATGTGAAAAACAAATACAATATTTGACTTTGAACGACACGCTTTTAATGATGACATGTAAGTACTGTGAAAGGTTTTAATTTGCGTTTGTGCCAATTTGCGACTTAATTGTACATAGACCGAAAGGTAACTTTCGCTTTCTCTTACAAAAGGTGTCGGAGCAGAAGCCACAGATCCTGCTCTCGGCCTAAGGGCATTATAATGCAAGGGGAATCCGTAAAAACTGGACAAATAGATAGGTACTAATGCAATCATTGTATTTTATGTATGGATAAGGGCTATGTATGGTGGTAGTAGTTTTGCACATTCTGTGGTGAAAGCCCTGGGCGCTAGGAACGCCTCAGAAGAAATTTGTAACAAAAGTAAAAATATCTTTCAATTCGCCTTGATGGCAAATATCTGGTAGTTACTTCCACGAAAGAATAAATTTATATAACCAAGAGTAAACATTAGCAGCTACTTATTTTTTTTATGACAAGCATATTTCATTTTATATCCTTTACTTATTGTCATATAAATCCTAGATATTAATTACCTAAGACAACAACACACTTTTTTTTAATAAAAAAGAAAGAACGAGTAAAATGCACGACTAAACACAAGTCTAATTCTTTTTTGGACGGGCACATAACATTACCATCATCAACCATACTTTCAATAACCATCGGGTGAGCTTGTAGACAAATGTAATGTATATATAATAAAATGTTATAAAAATATATATATATATACTTGCAGTTCTTGAGGCAGGCCCAAGAATGCCAAGAGGGATACTGCAAGGAAATTTTCAAGATATAGGAAATTATCGCCAATGCCTTGGTATTAATAAAGAAGTTGATGATATGGTTATAGAAGGAAAATATTGCCAAATATCGGTTGGATTTTCTCAGCTTGTAAACTTTGGTGATACGTCTGAGTTGGAAAAAGTAGAAAGAGCTGTTGATTCTATAAAAGATAAAATAAATTTATATGACGGATTACGACAAAATGTACATATGCTGGACGGGATAGAACTTAAAGATACAAGGTGAGAGGCAAAGTTAAAATATCTTTATTTTTAAACCGTAGTATATTTAACTCAATTGAGAGAATGCTCAATCGATATAAGAAATTACAATAGAACCGGTACAGGTATATAAAACAAGATCGTCATCATCATTTCTAAATTTTAGGACAGGAGGAGTTCTGGGTGGTTTACAGTTTTCTGTAGCTATTTGTCTACCAAAGCCTTGCTCTACAAGACGGGCATTATCAAATCTTATTGGAACCCCATTGATCAATTATCAAGAACAATTTTGTCGGTTCAAAAACGACAAACCTTGGGCACCAAGTGTTTATGTGGCTATGTAAGTGCTTTTAGATTAAGATTTGAACTAAAATTTAATGGTTTTACACTTGATTCAAATTAAAATGTGAAACTTCAAAAATACTTCGATGTTATAATAAACTCGAGATAAACAAGAAGCACATGTTAATGACACGGTATTTCTGCTCGCATTGTTTTTCAGTGTCGTCTTCAGTTTAATAGGTTTACTAGCCATCCTCAGTACCAGCTACGATATATGGAACACAAATATTCGCAAACTAGGTAAGATTGTATATTACAAGCATATCTGCAAGTCACATCAAATCAAATTAAATCAAATTCTAAAATAAAAATTCTTAAATAAAAAAAAAACATTTCAAGAAATCAACCTTATCTTTAATTGGATTAAAATTGACATGATCTGAAAACAAAAAACCCACTTAATGTTCATATATTCTTTGCGACAACGTCGATTCCTATCTTTAGAAGATTCGATTTTCAACATAATTTTATATTATCTTAAACGTTTCTATTGTGAGCATCTTATTCACTCACTTATGGTGAATTATAGTGAATGGTTACAAAATATTCTGAAAAGCACGTAATTTGTACATCTAATATTTCCAACAAAGATATGTTTTGTAACTTAACACCGTTAATATTAAAATTAGTGACCGCCATATCACAAATAGTTTATGGCCTGGTTTGTGGAAAAGTCGTGAATAGAATAGTTTATGGTCTCTTTATTAAACGACTTTGAACATTTATCACACATAAATATTAAAATAAGATCTTTTAAGAAAACAAATTTAACTATGAATATTATGCAGTCTATTTTTGGCAATAAGTATTAATAATCAATTTTCTTTTTCTGGTTTATGCACTTCAATGCTGACGGTCGCATCCAATCGGGTCATATTTCCGTCGCATTCTTCGTTATCGTCTTTCATTTACTCTATTCTCTGCACTTTTTACATCAGATACTAAAGAACCCGGCAACTGTTCCATCTGATCTGTTTATAGCGTTGAACATCAACCACGCGATATATTGTTTTAGTTGCTTTGCCCGTTATTACTTAGCTTTTTTGAGATTGGCTGATATTATTTAATCGGGTTTCATCAATAATTTTATTACATCTATTAGAAGCTAGCTTTAAATGATTTTTTAAATAAGAACTATGTTCTTGATATTAAGCTGTTTATTATTTGTTTCAGATCCCAAATCTCTCAATACAATTTGTTTATCGTTCTCAGCATACACAAATGCTCGTCGTCTTATCACATATAAACCAGTTCGCGGTGCCTTGGAATGTGTCGACGGCATCAGAGTTATATCTATGACTTGGGTCGTTCTTGCGCATTCATTTAGTGGTTTCATACCAATTATTAATTCTGTGGACGTTTATCTGGTATTTGGTGTTTATTATTATATGCAAAATTCATCTCTTATTACAGCATAAGATTTTCCTAAATTTAAATTTATTCTGTATTTTGAGATACGATCCATTAGCATTACACAGATAAGTTGATGACCTATCTGTGTAATTAAGAATAAATTTTTGTTATCACTGATATCTACAGTTAGCAGTAACCACTTTTCATCAGTTTATTCAGCTTAATGTTCCCTTGTTTAAATACCGTTAAAAAATTAGACAGCTGTACCCAGTACATTGAGCTTGTTTTCGATACCCGACATGAACTAATTTTTCTTACTTTATTGCAGTGGGCTATGTCATCTCGTTCAACTTGGTTGACCTCAGCCCAAATTGGTGTAGACACTTTCTTTGTGCTAAGTGGATTGCTGCTCGTTTACACTACTGTTGGAAAAATTAGCAGTAGTAAGTTAACATGTTTTGTAATAATAATATAAAATAAGTTAAAATGTTGTGTAATATAAGAAAGTTAAGGTCTTGTTCTTTTTCTATATCAAATCTTAGTTCTTTAGTTAATGTATATACTAAACTGTTTAGTATACACAACAAGCCTATTTACTTAAATTGGAACGGGTATTGTCCAACTCGGTAATCCTTGATTGCCCATTCTCTGTAATAAATAATGTATTAAATTTCTGAAAATGCTTTTGAAATGTATGAGGTACATTCCAAAATATAAAATGTTAAGCTATATATTTGGCGCTTAGGCTATTTTTCGTACTGTATCTTAAATTTGTTGTGAGTCGATCTTTTGACGGGACGAACAAGTTGTGCGACTGATGGTAAGATACTCACGCCTGTCCATAACAATTTCAGTGCCAATCAGTGCTTTAAATCCCAAAGATAAATATAATATAATTATAATTATTTTACACGATATCTTTATTAATCCATCTCCCTAACTCATTTTGTTTATCTTACAGTGAAATTATTAAAGAACCTCCATCTGTTTTATCTCAATCGAATTCTACGAATGTTTCCTCTACTAGCCACCACCGTGTTACTGCAAGTCGGTGTACTACATTATATTCATGATGGTCCATGGTGGTACGTAGTAGCGTTCTTGACTTCAGAATGTAGAATAAACTGGTGGTCAACGTTGCTTTACGTGCAAAATTATATTCGACCAATGGTACGTATCATGATTCCTTAAACTTCGTAAATGTATTGTTAATTACAGATCATGTGATCATCATTTCCTTACTTTTTCGACAGATGGTCAATTTAATGATTTTCATTAAAGTTTAAAATATTCGATGATTTGTGTTTGTTTAATCTGTCAGAATAAATATATCATTGGCACTGTCCACTACTGTAGAGGTAACGCTAGTTTAGGTAGTTCATGAATTTTAATTACTTTCTTCGATTGGTTATGTATTTGCTTTGCTTAAGATTATATTTACTTTCAGTGTTTAGCTCATACCTGGTACTTAGCAATTGATATGCAACTATACATTCTATCTCCACTGATATTGCTCTGGGTATTGTCAGGCAAAAAAAACTTCGCCTGGTCAGCTTTGATTGCTGGTGTATTAGTTTCGCTCACTGCGTCGTCAATTTACGTTTTCGTGAATAATTTCACCGGTTCTTCTATACGTCCTATGTAAGTATTGTGTAAATTCAAAATTGATTTATTATACTAAAGTTCAATGTTCTGTATAGATTTATTTAATACCCTACTATAAATAATATTACTTGCATCATCATCAACCCATTTATACGTCCCACTCACGGGTTTCCTCCCAGGCGAGGGTCATAGCCCACTACGTTGGTCCAATGCTGGTTGGGGGCATCACACGTTTTCCGAGGGTTGTGAACCTTCTTTGATGTGCAGGTTTCATCGCGATGTTTTTCCACCGAAAAGCTCATGATAAATTTCAAGTTAAATTTCGCACATAAATTCCGAGAAACTCAGAGGTTCGCACCTCTGAGTTTCTCGGAATTTGAATCCACGGCCTCGGCTTAAGCTTAAACCATTAGGCTACCACGGCTAAATATACATCCTTATCATAAACCCATGCAGTCCGACTTCTAGGCTCAGATCTTGTTTAGACAAGTCCTTAGGAACGTTCACGACAAGAACTTATTGCGGGTCGGGAACATCACACGTTTCTGAAGAGAATTGAAATTAAAAACTTTTTGATTTCAGATTGGATCCAGAAGAGGGTGCGAGATACGGGGATTATTATTACTTCAATACATTAACAAGATGCTCGCCTTTCTTTATTGGGATGTGTTTTGGTTATTTGATCCACTTTTGGCGAGAAAAGAATATTCGATTATCAAAGGTCAGTTTAAATTTTTACAACAAAATGTGATAATTATTTTGTATTATTAAACAATTCCATTAATAACCACTTATCTTAAACAAAATAACGACTAGTACCGTTTTAATGTATAGATTTGAAAGTGGTTTTCTACGGTCCGTGATTTTACCGATCACCTCTCACGAAGAAGCACCAGCGCAGTGCTCCAAGAGAAGAGGCTAGTTAATGGTAACGCAGACGCGTCCGGAGCGCTGTAAGGATCAATTCATAGCAAAAAACTGGGTGGAGCGGGTGCGCGGCGGCGGTGTTTGTCATTATGTAATTGGTTAATTATTGATTGAAAAGACGAAGAAAGAAGACCTACACCGGCCTTTCTTATTAATAATTAGCTGTCGGTAGTTGTCGACAACATAAAAATGTCTGTAAATTCACGGAGCGTGAAAGACCGCCATTGAATGTCACATTAACGACAGATAACCAACAATTTTGTATTAAAAATAGACGTGTCGATATTGTTAATTAAATTAAAAAATCTTCATATTATAAACTACCAAATGTCACGTATGTTTTTAGTTTATGGGTTTAGCGTACATAATCTTAATGAAATTGCATTATAGAAATTATTATTTTACAGATCCTGAATCTTATTTTGTGGATTTTAAACTTAGGCATGTTGTGGACGGCTTTCTACGCGATCACGCCAATGAAAAATGCTAATTTTAATAACCAAACTTACGACAACTTTGTGAATTCCTTCATGCGACCGGTATGGGCACTGGGAATTGGTTGGCTTATTCTTGTTTGCGCTGAAGGTTATGGAGGTGAGAAAAAAGCTACACTAAAAAATACAGAAATATTGACTTGATAGAAATTCAGTTAGAATTTAGATACGATATACTGTATCATAATCGTGACATTTTATCACAAAGTAACATGCAGTTTTATCCATTTAATGTTTTATATATTTAAAATATATAAAACACACACACGACATAAAATATTTGTTACTGATTAAGCCGTTTAACAACGAAACCCTTTACAACTGATAGATTAATAGTGAAAGTACACTTTTAACAGACAGCCTTTAATTTGTGTAGCACAAACTATTTACAAGATATTATAAACTAAACATTGTTATTAATTGTCACAATAGTGCATTGTGTATTAAGGGCGGTAAATAATAAACTACCAAAGAGAGGTTGATAATTAATTAATTAATGACGTTATGAGGTTTCACTCGAAAGAGTTGGTGACTCGTAATTTATGCGATATATTTCGACGTTTACATTTTTTAAGTATAAAAACTTTTTGCTTAATTTTTTACTTAAAAGATCTATAGAGTGATAATGTAACGAAAAAATCAGTAGGCATAATTTAGAACATTACGGTCGACTTTGCCTGCATGACATGACACTGTTTACGAGCAAGTGTGATGAAAACAACTTAAAACTAAAATCCGAGTAGGCAACATAAATAATAGATAACAATCCATGGCGTAAAGGATTCATAGGGGTCTTCTGTCTCTTTAGGACAACGAGAACCTTAATTGTCACAGCTGTAATGTAATAATCTCAGTACAGAGTACTAAAAAAACCGACCTCAAAATTACGTGGAATTACGTGTATTTGCTAAGTTTCATTGAAATATCCCCTAGTTCGCCATTATACAGGGCTTGATACTGGAGATAATAAAAATAGGTTCTCACTACGACTTTACTGAAAGTATATCGAGAGAAAAACGCCTTGAATTGGAGAAATAACAAAATCAACTAAATAATTGCTAAAAGTTTAAAAAAAAATTACTCCTAAATTAAAGTTTAGCGCTATTTATAAAAATTAATCTTCATGCGTGAACAGCCACCCTTTGAGGTGGATGATTTTCTTCAAAATGAAATGTGACCACTATGGAAATACCCCCTTTCCAACAAAAAAAGAATCATGAAAATCGGTTCACAAATACCGGAGTTATCGCGTAACATAAATACAAAAAAAAAAGAAAACAAAAAAAAGAACATACAGTCGAATTGAAAACCTCCTCCTTTTTTGAAGTCGGTTAAAAAAAAGATTCCATTTTTTTATTATTATTTTGAGCTGTTGAGTTACGAGCATAATATATATTTAGCATAAATTGTATGTGGAAAAGATTAATAACAGTGATTTTAAAATTTTTTATCTACAATATATTTGTTAACAAGAATTTTATTGTGCTGAACACTTGCTACGAGAATTGCAATTGAATTTTTGTACATGTATACATGGAGATAGAATTTCTTCTTCTTTTCATTTTCTTATCTTATTGATGGCGTATACTATAATGCTTGCAATCGTGGTAAACTCGTCGATAGCTAACCAAGATGCGCCAGACGAATAGGAAAGGTACGTCGTGCGGGGAGGCTCTTTTCGTGCACCCCTAACACATGAAATCCACTCAAGTACTTTACAAGATTAATGTGAAGACATATATACTCCTAAAATGAATAAAATATTCTATATAGGGTAAACTGTATAATGCTGTTAAACGCTTTTCAGGTCCGATCAACTGGTTCCTGTCACTGCGACTGTGGAAATTGCCGTCTCGGCTTTCGTTCGCGATATATTTGCTGCATCACCCTATACAATTTGTCATAACTGCATCAACTTCGCAACACGTTTACTTTTCTGTGATGAATTTTGTAAGTTCTACTTCTTTCAATTATTATTTTTGGCACCTAGTTGAGTGGTAGTTTTCTTTTTAGTAGCGGTAGAGTCTCCTTGTGAAAGAGTTCGTCCAGGGAAGTACTGCCACTTTACCCGTTTCTGCTGCAAAGCAGTAATGTCAGCATTACTGCGTTGCGGTTTCGAAGAATGTAGGCGCAGTGTCTCTCAGATGTTTGCGATTTAAAGCTCTGAGTAGTATTGCAACGGTTATGGATAGGCGTGTAGCTTGTTCGTCCCGTCGCTTGATATTATAAAAAAACCTAATGAATACGGCTTAATATTTAAAAGAAAGAGATGAAAAAAATGTGTATTGTAAAATGATATATTTAAAAGTATATTTTAAACAGACGTTAACCTATTAAGATAACAAATTTAACAATTTCGTGACGTGAAATAGCTGCGAATATTTTTGTCTTTGCCTAAATGTCATGAAATATTATCACAATGTCTGAGGACCCGCTTGTTTCATCAATGTGTTTTACCCACCATGACTTATGGTGCCGAGACATGGACGCTCACGCAGGAGACTGTATACAGGCTGAGATTTGTACAAAGGGACATGGAGAGCGCCATGCTCGGCATCAGCGTTATAGACCGAGTTCCGAACGTTGAGATCCGATGACGGACGAAAGTCGGAGATGCTGGAATTCAAATCATGGTCCTCAAATAGAGTTGAGTGGGACACTTAGCAAGGTGAGGATCACCACAGACGTCGAATGATTGGTGGCTGAGGATGGGCAAAAGAAGCGTCGGGCGCTCAGTTGCAAGGCGGGTCAACGGCATGCGAGGCGTCTCAGGGCGTCAACGGATCCGGTGAATGGCATAAACTTCGGGAGCCCTATACTCAGCAGTGAGTGGAATCAGTTTGTGGATGACAATGATAAAACATTATAGATTACAAATACTCCACATCCAAAACAAAATAGAAAGAGATAATGACAAAAAAAAAACACTAGTCGGTACTTATTTCAAATTTTGTGATTTTTAACATTATTTGTTTGTTTCAGTTTTATATGTTCTTCGGCCGCTATGTGATATATTTCATAGTCAGCTTTATTTTTGCAATTCTGGTGGATTCTCCGTTTGCCAATATTGTCAAAGTGATCTTAGGAGGCGGTAAGTTTTAAAATTTGTAACTAGTATTACGCATGGACACAGACATACATATGCACGCACAATGCTATCCTAATTTGCGTTTGAGATCAGAGTTTTCGTTTCTTTCGTCAAAATCTGCAATACTCTATCAGACAGCTAGTGACTTCAATGATGTACACTACATCCTCCCAGAAATTTAAAGCCTTTGCCCTGTTTCCCTTTAAGCAGTGCAAATCGTTGGTAGATTTGGAATTTTGCTTTTGCCAACACTATAAATGTCAGTTCATTCAAGCCTTTTTAATCAAGATGGTCGTGGATTTATTCCGATGACGTAATAACTAAGCCGAAAAAACCTATAGCACATAGACCGAATGGTAAATACAATTATGAGAAAACCGAGTGTAAATAAATAAACATGACGACTACGCACTTTGGTTCTTTGTCTTTTAGCACTAAAAAGTGAATTTTGAACACTATGATTCTATATACACTATACAAATGATGATTTGTGAGTATTATTATCGCTATTCAATGACAAAAACGTTGTCGACATCGAACATAAAGTGACCCACTTGACAGTTTGATGTACATATTCTTATTAGGTAATAAATGTTTTTTAAAGATTTGTTTAAATATGAATTCATATTTTTCAGGTATCAAAAAATCGAATCCAGAGCAACCAAGTGATAAAACAAACATCCAAAAACCAAATTCTGATTAAACAGGATATAGGCGTACCAATTAGATAGATAGATAGATACCACGTTTACTCAGCACAAATACAAACAGAAACAAAACATTTACAATCACCTCACAGAGTATAACATAAAAGCACATAGAACATTCATTATTAATTTTATACACATTTATACAAAACACATATTGCGAGAAAAACAAATACTGTGAGAAAAACAAACAAATACTATAACAACTGATAAAATTTTAATGTACTTAAGACTAGAGTTTGTGCTGAAATGGCCCTGACTCAGCATAAATACTGTAGACCGAGAGAATCCAAACAGTGCTGATTTTCTGCCAGTACCATATGGTGAGCGACTACACTAAACAATATGAAACTCTTCTACTTGTTGAAACACCAGAGATGAAAAACGGAGCCATGGACACCAATCAACTGGCTACGCACAGAAATTTCAAGATTTCATAGTTTAATTACAATATAATTACACGTCTACAGCAGGCAGTTATACGGTGTAAAACGTTGTCTCCCAAAGCTGTAGGTGGGGAAAAACATTGTAGCTTCAAGTAAGTGTCTGATAGTCTACGAGCGATTGCAATTCTTGACCGATACAGGTCTACATTTATTTTGTATACTTTCCCGGGCTTTCGACTGTTGTTATGTTATAAATAAAACTAGTTGTATGATATTTTTATGTTACATTCAAAAATATATATAAAATTATTTTTTCTTTAATATATATTTTTTTAAATTTAGGTATGTAAATTTTTTTATTTATTTATTTTTATAATATCAAGTGACGGGACGAACAAATTGTGCACCTGATGGAAAGTTACACGCCTTCGATAAGAGCCGCTGTGCCACTTAGAGCTTTATATCGCATAATCGCGACATATGTAGTTGACAAGTAGCCTGTAATTGAACCAATTTTTTTACAATCGTATCCCAGACCTATTGTACAAGATGCCGTTTGGTGTGGTGCTACAAATTTTCAATTCTTTGTTCGGAGTAGATGCACACTGGACATTAACTGAGACATTATGTAAACGGCAAGCACCTTTCGAAAGAATTTTACCGAAGAATGTTGAAAATATGGTGGGCGGATAGAATCACAAATGACAATGTATTACAGAGGATGTACAAAGGCTGAATAAAACGGAGGGAACTAATAGTACTTTGGGGAGGTCATATGAAATGAAAAGTATTTTCATCTCAAACTCTTTTTGCAAGAAAAGTCTAGGATCGTAGAAGACATGGTCGTAGAAAAACCACATGGCTCCAAAATCTTGCAAGATGGTTCAGTATCAAATACCACATAACCCTTCCGAGACGCAATTTCTCGGGCCCAAGTGGCTATAACGATAGCCGACCTCCGATAGGCGATGGCACATCAAGAAGAAGAAGGAAACATACTGCCTTCGTGGCCGGACGGTTACCATGCCGGACTGCCACGTAGAGGTCCCGGGTTCGATTCTCGGACCGGGAGAAATATTTGTATGGCCTACATTTATTTCTCTCGTGAGTTTGGGTGTAATTTGTGGTTGTATGTGTGTCCAAGGCACCCGCGACCCGACCCTACCCTAGTGCGGGGCCATGAGTGTGTGCGTTTTTAAAATACAAACATTATGTACCTACTACACCGTTACAAGTATACCAAAAGGTACAAAAACTGTACGACGATTTTTTTTTATTAATGAATTATTTCTAATTATGGATAATAATAATATACATACGCACATATTATATGACGACTTCGACAGGTTCTAATTTTATCGTAATACAATCAATATACTCCATCATAATATAAACAACATACAAACCTAACCACCTCTTAAAAATGTCGTATTTGTATTACATTGATTTTATGGAGTTAGTGCTTGTCTTGTTTGTTGCTTATATAATGTTACAATATTTAAGTTTCTCATCTACGTGAATGCTTAATTCCTTTGAGAAAATAAATTCTTAAATCACATACTAAACTGAAAATAGAGTTTTCTTAACAATGACAATTACTAGCTATTTTTTAAGTCTAGGTTACAAAATAAATATTGTACCTACTTTATTAAACTAAAGACTAGGTACTGTAAAAGTGGCTAGAGTTGTCAAATATGATTCGTAAATATGATAAGTGTAACACATTTTTCTAACAATTAGATAAGAACACCTAATTAGGGTGATGGTACCAATGGTCGATATTATAAGGGAAGTGTATCTTTAAATTTGAAATAACTTTTTTGTTTATAAACATAATTGTATACATGCTGATTTTTAAAAATTTCTTCGGTCCTGCCGGATTCGAACCGACGTCTTCTAGCATACCGTGGCAGACGCTATACCAACTAAGCCACGGAACGAACCAGCGGACCTCACGAATTTTTATGTGTGCTTGTTGTTGTGCCTTTCTATTTGGTTTTTCAACGACTGTTTAGCCGTAGCGCCATCTATGAGAAATCCATGAAAGTATTTCGTCAGTGTTAGTGGAGTAATTTTACGTGTGGCGCATTGTAAATTTCCGAAATGAATAGGAAAAAATACTACAAATGGTCAGAAATAAATTTATTGTTTCTCAAAATATTCTCCGTTAGCGTTAATCATTGACTTACAATTATATGGACGTCGGGTCGGCGCTAAAAAGTGTCCGAACTTATAGGGCGTTAAAATCGTACACAGAGCGTCATTCACGCTTTAGTCTTCGTTTGTTCGACTGACAGCAAAGCAAGCAAAATTAGACAGTACTGCGATGACATTACAATTTAAATTCAACGTTTTAGCTTTTTCACATTCCTTTACATGTCACTACGTTTAAACAGGTTGACTTGGGACATTTTTTTCGTGGTTTTGTATTAGACCCGTCGTCCATTTATTTGTAAGTCAATGGCGTTAATGCACTTTTTCGTACGAACAACCAATTTTCAAAACCATTTATGCCACTCTTCCGTGACAATCTCTGAAACATATTTTTCATACTCTTCGATAGCCTCTTCAGGTGATGAAAATCATTGACCGCGTAACTGGTTCTTAATTTTTGGAAATAAATGAAAGTCACAAGGTGCCAGGACGGGACTGAACGCGGGATGGCTCATAAGGTCAACATTGTTCTCCTTCAAAAATTCATTTGTCTGTCTGGCCGTGTGAGAACTGGCATTATGCTGGTATATGATACGGCGTTTACGGTCATTTTTACGGAGTTTGTCAATTCGGGCAAACAAATGATCGTGTACCAATCACTATTCACGGTACAACTTTCTCCAATTTCTCCAAAGCAACAGTAGCCACGTGTCCAGTTTTATTAAAAAAAGAAGCAACAGGCTTACAGGCACTTTGCACGCACTTTGCATGTTTGTGTAGTATTGATTGAAGATGCCTGAATCTCGTGGTATGTCACATGCCTGTCTGTTTTGATCATATGGCGCACAGCATCGATGTTTTTGTTGTTCACAGCAGTGGACGGGCGACCATCACGAAATTCGTCACTGAGATTCACACGACCGCGATTGAATTCTGCAAATCAGCTATAAATAGTCGTCTCGCATGGTGCTTCATCGCCAAAAGCAGTTTGAAGCCGAGCGAAGCGCCGCCGAGCTGTTAAAGTACACTTAAAGTCGTAGAAAATCATACTACGAAAATTTTCACGAGTTTAATCCATGGTGATGTAGACAATCAATTTCTAAAATGACGCCACATTGTAAAAACAAGTGACAGACAGATGAAAAAAACTGTATACCAAAGGGTTCCATTTTCAAACGTTATAATTACTTTTTAAATATTGTTTGTATGTATTAAATATTGTTTATTGTGTCTATGATCATAAAAAATTTCATATTTTCAATTCATAGAATATCAATTCAATAAAAAATTGTAATGTTATGATGTTTGACCACCATGATATTCAATTATTTTTGTAAAATGCCTCCAATAGTTTATTAAAATTATTAATACAAAGATCGAACACTAACAAAAAAAACCGTGTCAGATAATCCATAGTGATTAGTTTATTTGTCAGATACAATCTTCAAGATCATGCTGTAGTACATTTCATAAAAAAGCTATAATGATTATTACTAAAAGAACCTCTAAACTAGAATTTTTCTAAATCTCCAGTAATGAACACCAAAAATCCACTGATTAACTGACCAGTAATCGACACTTACCTATAATGAAAACCCAGTAATTGACCTTACAAACAAAAAACGTGTTATTATGATAAAAAAATTTTGTTCTAAATCCTATTAGAAATGAATTTAAAAAAGGCTGTCGAACACTGGTGCTTGTCGGTCCCTAGCGCCACCACCCTATATTGAAAAAAATGAGGCTGCAATGCACGTCACGTAAACAATAAATTTAAATTCTATTAAATAAAGTTTGAAGCAATAACTGGCTCCAATATAATACGTCAATAATTTATATAATTTTGAAACGATTGGCTGATGTGACTAATTGAATCCGTAACACAGTTACGCTGATAAACAAAACCCAGATATACTTATATCACATTTGTTTTTATACACACTTGATAAAAATCTCTGATATCACAAAAAGTCGACATTTTAAAATGATTACCTGAAATAAAAATCACTGTTTAAAAAAGACTCACGGAATGTTTAGTAGCAACAGAGCTGTTGTAATTTGAGCATTACTGCCTTCCGGTTTTGAAGGGTAACGGTGCTGGTGAAATTACTAGCACATGGGACTTCAACGTCAACTCGTCTCAGCGTGACAGTGTCCAGGTCCAGGTCTTTGTGATTTACAGCTCTGAGTAGCACTGCAACTGTTATGGGTAGATACGTCGCTTACACTCAAGCGCACGAATTGTTTGCCCCGTCAAAAAATGTTTCATATAGATAAAAGAACCAGTCTTACTTTGAGCAATTTTTTCGAAATTCTATTTTTTGTCGAACCTTTATTTGTAAAGTATCTTAGCCTTACTGGGCGTTTAAACAATATAATATTAACTTATGTTATGTGGCTTTTGAAAATGTATACATAAAGCCGAGTCACAGCTTTCCACGTGCAAAATATGCACAGAACAATTTGATACCCTCTACAGACTTGCAGAAACTGTTTCACCGACTTATATTGAAGTGTAGATACCAAAAAGTATTATTATAGTGATATTAGCCAGAGCTCGGAATTGCATATGTAGTGTTGATCTGTTAGCATAACCACAAATTCTTCTGTAAATACACAAATACCACTTTATTATGCAATTTCGAGCTCTCACTAATATCATCATATCTTCTTATAATAGGGCTTATAACGCATAACATTGCCGTTCTAAATAAAAAAATGTAAACAAAAATAGATAAAGAAAGGACTAGTAGGGCTAGCACAATAGGGCGCGACTTGCACGAGAGTGACATAAAACGCGAGATACTGCTATTATCGCATAGCGATCCCGTGCTTTAAGTCGCTGTCGCGCAAGTCGCGTCTTGCGTGCTAGCCCTACTGAAAACAATATATCAAAATATTAAAGTAATCAAAATATTTCCATACTTCTAATACATTTTTGCTGGAACCTCATTTATTACTGTTTGGTAAAATAGTGGGGCACAGTAATCTACAAATCCTTGGAACTCATTTGAGACTGCTTCACCGTGACCGAAGTGTTATAAATAGTTACCTGAATTGCGGAATACACGGTAATCAGTGACCAAGTTAGGTAAGTGTGGACGGTGGCGAGGTGCTTTAATATTCTACTTCTGTGCGGTGGAGAACGTTTATTTACCAGTTTGCGGTCTCACATTCTCGTGTAGCTCGTATGCAGATTAATTGACGATCATTCCTCTGCTAATTGCATTTCTTCACAATAGCACTCAACTTTCACTATCCTACCAGACTCAATATGAAGAAACAATTTTCTGTGATTTTTTTTATTTTTCCAATACTATTTGGGCTAACCTACTGTGTTGATCGTTAGCGATTATCATAAAGAATCATATTTCGTCTTAAGTACGTAGTGATATAGTCTAAGTTCTTTGACCCTCTAAGATAATGGTAGCTTTTACCTGCTTTTCCTTTTTTTCGGGATGCATGAAAGGAAACACAATAAGGTGTATTGCGAGTACCTTGCGCTGCATTATAGAGTATACCATCACTGCGATAAGAAGAATTAGAATACCAATTTTTCAAGACAGTTTTTTTTTACCGATTTGGCCTTTATAGTTTTCGATGAATGGAGTTATCATCAGCATACAAGCCGTCATTATTCGCTTTAGGTTGCGGTCGTCCACGAGCCTCATTTGCCAGATTAAAGTATCCATTGCGGAACCGGATAAACCAAATACACACAGCGCGTTCGTTAGTTGTATCCGCTTCATACAGGTCGTTAATGTTTCAAGTCGTTTGCGCTGCATTAGTGCCATGTTGGAACTCGTATTCAAAATATGCACGTATTTAAGCGGAATCCATGTTAGAATGGTGAATTTTAGCATCGCTACACTTGCGATTTATAGGCGATTGCATCGGTGCAAACGCGCTACTGCATCGATACAAACGCGCGCTACATCGCTATGCTTGTGATTTATAAGTGATTGCATCGATGCAATCGCGCGTTTGCGTCGCTGCTTAAAGTCACGCGTGTGTAAAAGCTCTAACATTTCAAAATTAAGGCCCATTTAGATGGAGAGAGTTTCTCGTCTCGAAGATACGATTATCGAAAGAATATCAAAAACTTTCCTCGTCTAAACATTCGCGATTATCGCCCTTCCACGTGAGCGATAATCCCCTGGCCTTTCAATATTGAACGTCTCCGTGTAAACAGAACTTGAAAGCAAAAATCGTATTTCGAGTTTTTGTGCCAGCCGTTTCTGCCACGAGTGCAGTGCGCGAGGGTGTTTTGATTATCACTGCTTTTCTAAGACAAAAATGAACGAAACGAAAAGGAAAAAAAAGGGTTAAGAAATGTTATAAAATTAAAAAAAAAGAAAAAACAATGTATATTTCTATACAATGTAATGAACTTAATACTATCAGCAGTTCCAAATTTCAATGATATTTGCGTCATTTTGATATATGCATAGTCAATACCGCAGTAATCCCTGAACTCGAATGGCAATTCTTGCACTCAAAACGGTTCGAACCGATTTGTACGATAATCGTATGAACTTGAAAAAATGTCATACGAGATCGTGTTTAGACAAGTCGAAAACTCGTAAGCAAGAATCTCCTTACTACATATTTCTCCATGTAAACAGTCGAGGAGGCGATTAAGTTGCTTGCGAATCTCGTATGACATAATCGAGGCGAGATTTTGGTTCTTGCCTCAATGTAAAAATTATGATGCGATAATCTTATGGCGATTATTGCTTATGATAATCGCGTACGATTTTTCGTCACGAAGTATGCGATAAACTCTGTCCATCTAAATGGGCCCTTAGTCAAAGCGAAAAAAAATTAACGACGCGGAATTTTAAATTTAGAAGCCTTACTATTTGTTTTGGAACAGTTTGTAGCCTGTAAGTATTTAATATTTCATTTCCAAATAGTCACGGCAATTTCATATTTTAGCCTCTAACCTATTCATAATTCTACGGCTCATGACTACAATGACATCTGAAATTCGTCAATAGATCTTCTTGCGAAAGTACTGCCACCTTATGTAATGTAATGTGGCCATTACTGCCGTCCGGTTTTGAAGGGTAAGGGTGCTGGTGAAATTACATGAACATGAGACTTGTCAACACACGTATCAGGGTGACGGCCATATTGGCAGTGACCCTCAGGTCTTTGTGATTTAAAGCATTAAGTGGCACTGTAACTTGTGGATAGGCATATCGCATTGTTCGTCCCGTCACTTGTCATAGTAAAAAAAATGTTATAAATAATTAAAAGAACCAGTATTGCGACTTTGTGCACTCTTTTTTACGCTCGCTTGACGTTTACAACGTTTGCTACCGAGTCACATCCATACAGTTCTAGACACATTTTTATTGATGACATGTTTTGTGCAACAATTCAAATACCTGCGCTGCATGATAAACGAGACTGATTGCAGGGAAAAGGTAATTCAATCCCGCATTCTGGGAACTTTAACATATGCGGCAGCTCTCCATATAATATTGATGTCTAAGATTATGCGCCGGAAAAATCAAAGATTCGTGTCTACAAAACTGTCAAACGACTGATGTTAATGATCTCTGAGAAAGAATAAGCTTGACTGTTTTTTTAAGGTTGATTGTGACTATGATATTGATTATTATTGTGGTTTTAATTAACCAACTTCAAAAAAGGAGGAGGTTCTCAATTCGACTGTAATTTTGTTTTGATTATTCTTTATTACACTCATCCGGCAAATAGTGTACTGTACAACCTGTGTTCACAAATTTTTATTATTATTTTATCAAAATTTTATATTGCAAGTAATTAATATTTCCTTCCTTGCAAAATATTCAAGAACAATAAAGAATTACAATTGCTTTATTGTTTACAATTGCGCTATTATTTACAAATTACATTATTATTTTACAGTAATACAATTCTACGTCTACAATTACATCAAAAAGTACACGTCTGTGTCGTTTACTATGTTCCGCGTCACGTGTTCTCTGTTACCGGATCCACTGAAAATCAACGTCGTAGCATATGAGTGCATGCAGTGAGACGACACCAAGCTGAGTGGATGTCGGACTCCGTAACGGCACAACACGTACACTTTATGGTTTATTACTTGATTATTTATTATTTTTATTTATTTATTTTCAGGTTACAAGGACCCATACTGCCCTGATAAGCCGAAAAGCGCTATCTCAATCGGAATAAGTTTTGAGAAAATCGACTTTTTGTAAATTGCATTTTATGTAATTGTATTGTATTTAAAAATACTTCTTAGTGGTTTTTTAAATGTTTTAAGTTAGATAGCGCTATTTCTATTATACCATTAGATGCGAAATTTTTATAGCTATTGAATGGCATAAAAAAAACTAAAAAGGCGTAACTCAGAGATAGCGCCTTTCGGCTTAGCAGGGCAGCATAAACACTTACTATATAAGCTAACTAATAATAAATAATAATATAATAAAACATTATTATTTACACATATTGTCTGCGACGTGTGACGCAATGTGGGTGTCCGGTAGCCGGCTGATGAATGGTTGCAGTTATTGCTTCTTTGTTTGTGTGTTACTTGTGTGTGTGTATTATCTAATTGTTACTGTTTTTTTTTTTCACTTTTTATTTCGTCTTTTTTTCATTATTTATTAAATTTTTTTTTTCATGTTATAATTACGTATCGTCATTGCTAATTGTAAGTATGTGTGCTGCGTTGTTTCTTTTGGAAATAAAGTATTTCTATTCTATTCTATTCTAACTTATATAGGGGCGACTATAAAACAAATAATGTCTTACAAGGTAAATTCATTATACACTAAGACTTCTAAACGGTACGATGATATTTCGAATAATCATCGAATATTGTAGTCGTGATTATTGGCATAAAGGTCGGTTGTTATACTGACTTAATGATATTAAGCAAATATGGAAAACGACCATTTTGAAATAAGAGAATAACCAAACAAATGAGCGATGTATTCAGCTCGTTAGTTGCATTAATGCTTTCTAATTTTTAAGAAAACAATAGAAACAAGGCTTTTAGGTTTTGCTTACAAATAGATAATTAAACTGTTTTTTGTTTCCAATAAAGCAATGCTTTATAGGTCTCTTTGTATATATAACATGCAGTCAGCCGTGATCGTGGGATCTGTAAAGAGTCCAAAACTTTAGTTTGTTTATAAAAAAAACAAATATCGGCGGTTTAGATCCGAAAAAAAAGTTTCATTTCCTATGTGGGACGCGAAAACCTAAGAATTCCATACAACTTTTAAAATCAGAACAATTTGGATTCCTGCAAATTAAATCTACTTATTTGGCAGTTTTCGCCGTCGTGGCAGAAACAGTCAAAATTATTCCACTTCCATTCACACTTAAGTTATTCTCCGTCTATGTACAAAAGGTTTATGCTAGTAAAACCGTTTTCTACGCCTTAGATATGGCTTCTGTAGAAGTGCCTCCAATACCTTATACAATATTATAGGTAATATAATGTATAAGGGATTGGAGGCACTCGTTTATGAGGCTTCTTGTGTAGGCACAAGATTTATATTTTAGATTTATATTTTAGAAATGATTCGACGAGATTACGTTTGGTGATTTTTATTAAACATATTTCCTGTTACTCATTCGTTTTGCTCATGATCAGCACATCGTTTTGATCAATCAGATGTTTCTTTTTGCATGTTTCTTGTACCACCTGCTTGCTCTGAAGTAGAGTTTTTGATACCTGCAAAAATTTTATATAAAAAATATTTATTAGTAGGGCAAAAATTTACCTTACAAAATATTATTTTTTAATTTATTTCAATTTAGTAGTGAAATGTTAATCAAAACAGTCATAAGTATAAACTTTGATCTTTTGATATATCGTTTTTAGGTCACCGTGTATTATTTATAAATTTTATAACTTACCGCTTCCTAAAAGCACCTTGAATATAGTGGTACACGGAAAATCCACCAGAATTGTGAAAACAAAGCTGATTATGAAAAATATCACAAATTGGCCGAAATACATGTACATCTGAAAAAGACAATTTAAAGATGAGACGAATAATAAGAAAAATTACTTCAAAAAGAAGGAAATCTCTTTTTTATTCCCACCTCTAAAAAAGTTAAATTTATTGCATTGTATTTATAAAATATTTATTTCATTGTTTGTTCGCGTTGGCGTACTAATTTATTATTAGGTTTAGATATAATAGTATTTATGGGTGCACCATTGCACATTATTATATTTTTGTTTATTCTGTCATCAATATTGTAGAAGAGCACATAACAAAACAGGTTACAATAGGCAGCCTTGTGGTACCCCCTCATTTGTCGTTTGTATGTATGTATTTTACTCTAAGTATGTGTTAGTATAGTTATTTTATAAATGTATGACTGACAACTACAGAATTTGTTTTTTTTTTTTGTTATGGCATTGATAATGTTTGTTATGGTAAATCAGGGATAAAATTACCATAAAAACGGATCCAATAATAATGTAATTAACCATGAAAATAATTACTCGTCGATTAAAATCGATAACATTGACAATGTTATCGTTTTTTAGTAAACAATTTTTCAAAGCACCAAACATAATATAATTTTAATAGCAGCAGAACTCCTTGTGAAAGCGTTCATCCAGGGAAGTACTGCCACTTTACCTATTTCTATCGCCCAGCAGTGTAAAGAGAGCATTACTGTGTTTCGGTTTTGAAAGGTAAGACTGCTGGCGAAATTACATGCACCTGGGACTTGTCAACTTATGTCCCAGGATGACGGGCGCAGGCAGACCTTCAGATCTTTGCGATTTAAAACTCTGAGTGTCAATGCAACCACCAGGCGCACGACTTGTTCTTCCAGTCACCTGGTATCATAAAAAAAACAATAAAAAAAAGAATAAAGCAATTAGTAGACATGTAGTCACTTACAAAATTCATCACAGAAAAGTAAATGTGTTGCGAAGCTGTTCCAACTATGACGACTTGTATGGGCATATGCAACAAATATATCGCGTATGAGAGTCGAGACGGCAATTTCCACATTCGTAATGACAGGAACCAGTTGATCGGGCCTGAAAATGTTTAATAGTATTTATATACGTTAGTGTTTAAAGTGATTGGGAAACTACATATCAATTTTCTAAACTTATCGCGAATTGCGAATTAATTCCAATCGATTAACACAATTGAGTAAATGTCAATTATAAAAACTATTACGCCTTTGGTTAAAAAAAATAATAACATTTTCATACAAAAAACCGACCCCGTACAGTTTGTAGAATTACATCTATTTGCCAAGTTGTATGGAAATCCAATAAACAGAATTCATTCCCTAAAAGATAGAGTATTTTCTTCAAATTAAAACGAGACCACTACTAGTACTCCCGTTCTAACAAAAAAAGAATAATCGAAATCTGTACCTATACAAATGTTGGAGTAATAACGTAACATGCACACAAAAATAAACAGTACAATTGAGAAACTTCTCCTTTTTTAAGTTGGTTAAACATAGAACCTTGTATGGTTTCCTTTAAGACTTTCGATTAGAATCGAAATAGAAACAATGATGGAAATAAATGTGTTATAAAAATATATATTCACAAGTATTACACTCGTAGTTTATAGAAAATTGTAGATATTTGCGATTGCAATTATAGATATTCAACCATAACAAATATTCTTTGGGAAACGCTGCCCGCGTTAGCCCGTATCATGTAGGGAACCGAAAGCAACGATGGCGAGTGAGCTCATTTATCTGTTTTTACAAACCCCCTCTTATAATTAATAACCGAGTCTCGTACTAATACGGTTCAATTTTACTTTATTGCTAGGCCGAGTGGCAGGGACACTGGCTTTATTTCGGGACTTATTTTATTGCAAACGAAACTAGTCATTTGAAAAATGTATATCGTATACTATAAGTCTTTTTATTCAGTTCAGTTGATAAAAAAATCATTAGTATGTGTAAATTACCTATTGAATGCAGCGGGTTTCTTGTAAAATTTCGATGCAAGTTAGTGTTTTTTTTTCTATCGTGAAATTTTTTCGGAACCGTGTTTTCACAACGTGCGGTAATCAGTGTATATCTTCAATTTTAATGTATATTTACTCCAAATTAATTGATTCAACACTTTGACTGTAATGCGGAATTAACCAAAGCCATCTGAGGCTGTACAGACTCTTAAGAAAAAATTAAAGAAATTGTAACTCCCATGAATGACTAGACATATGCAGAATTTTTCGAGAGAAGCCAGAAACTTAAAAATAGAATACAATATACTGAGCTCATTATATTTCAGTGCATGTGTACCAGATGCTGTACCTGAACAGTACATGTGTATAACTACTAAACCTTCGCCTGTGAAGAGACCCGTGCTTAGCAGTGGGACGTACAATAGGAATGATGATGATGATCAGAAATCAGTTATGAGGTCCGGATGGCTGTACAGGGAAACTAGAGACTACTCGGGGGGTGTTAAAATGGATTCAGTTGTGTACAATATAAAGTCAATTGCATATCATGACGCGTCTAGGTGTTTACCCGTTATAAATCAATTTAAATATGCTGTGCACCTTAAGTGTAGGTATGCAAATAGGTTCTGTTTTATCAATGTAATCGCTGTTCTTTGCATTTATCATGAATAAATTGGCGACGCTACTCGGTCAAATTTAATGAATATCAACTTACTCATGTGCACATTCAGAAAAATATTGTTGCGTTAACAATAAAACTTTAATAGCTAAAAGCCGACAGAGGTGTTTATTTCCTATAACAAAGTTTTATTGGCAAGCCTAACTTTGCTATTGACACAACTTTTCCATAGATTGTACATTTTTGTCCAAGTTCAACAGACACAAAAGTATAAAATATCTGGTGTCAAATTGGTCCTAATGGCCGTTTCCTTGAGATTGGACTCCTAGTAAAGTTATATAAAGTATGGTTTTGTCTTCTAGTACGAGTATCAAAGTTCGGTCAGAAGGAAGGAAACGGCCGAAAATGGATCAATGCTACCTAGCGGATTTTTATATAACTACTAAACGATGCGCAAGTTCTATAAAGATCCGGTAATTGCTGTTCGAATTTTGTCATGTAATCTATTTTTCGTTTATTACAGGCACATTTAAAAAAAAATCTTCTGGAAAGAAAGCACATACTGAGAACATCAGTAGTTTTTTTGTTATAGTAACAATAAATGTCTAGAAAATCATTTACTTTTCCATTGTCGGCCTTATTTCTAATTACACCAGTATGCGTGTAAATATAGCAAATCTCTATTTCGATTCTAATAGAAAGTCTTAAAGGAAACCATACAAGATTCTGTTTATTATAAATATACAATTGACAATAACAGTAGGTCGAAAAACAAAAAAAAAACAAAGAAACATGAAACGTTTCCCAGAGAATATTCGCTATGGTTGAATAATTATAATTCCAATCGCAATACTTAAAATATATAGAATTTTCTATAAACTTCGAGTGTGATATTTATGTTTATATTTTTATAACACATTTCTTTCCATAATTTTGTTTTTTTTTTGTTTTATAAAGAAAGCTTTGTTTATTTTTAGGGTTCAGAAGTTATGGGTTGTTCATTAGCTCCATCAGTAATCACTACATTTTGATATTATTTTGTGGCTTTAAATGTAACAATAACTTGGCAAAACCTTGCGATATTAATTTGAGAATTATATACAAAATTGTGGATAAAAAATTGAATATTTAAAAATGTTATACTCAATCTTAATTTTGTATTTCAAATTCAGATTGATATGTTCTTAGTAGAGATAGCTTAAGACAGGGAGCAATGGAGTATTTTGGAGGAGACCTTTGTCCGGAACACTATAGGCCAATAATAAATATCTTAGTATAGATTTTTCTCACCTCCGTATCCTTCAACACATGCAAGAATAAGCCAGCCAAGCCCTAGAGCCCACGCTGGTCGCATAAAAGAATTGACTAAGTTCTCCACAGTTTGACTATCGAAATCAGTACTCTTCATCGGCGTGGTCGCGTAGAATGCCAACCACAATACGGCTAAGTTGACAATCCATAATATATAACTCCAGATCTGTAAAATTAAAGTGCCTGAATCAGATTGAATATGCTATAGCCAGTACTGTAAGAGACCCCCCGCACCAGCGTCTTTCGAGCGTCAGCGTCTTGCCAACGCACGCACACCGTCACAGAAACGATGATGTAGCCGATGAAAGCCTAATCACTAATGCCTTGAAAAGCCCTAAACATACATTTTTTATTTTATTTTTTTAATGCAACACTGGCACTTAACACGTTTTCATACAATTTCTACTATGTTGCAGTGTGACGACATAATTCTGTGCACTATGTAGAAATATTATTAAGCCAAGTTTCATTCATATGTATCACATGACATTTCTACACGAAATTGGCATTATCAAACCAAATTTAATATATTTTGTCCCTTACATTTTTAATGCGATCGTTAAAGATTCAATTTACCTTTGTTATTCGAATATTCTTTTCTCGCCAAAAGTGGATCAAGTACCCAAAACACATCCCAACAAAGAAAGGTGAAGATCTCGTTAATGTATTGTAGTAATAGTATTTCGAGTATCTTTGACCCTCTCCTGGTCTCAATCTGAAAACAAAAAAGTTTATACAAATGTATGTAGGTGTAGCAGCGATAGCCTAGTAAAGAGATGCTAGTATTCTATATTGGAACTTCCAAATTGGAAGCCCTCGGTTCTCGGCTAGCCACTACGTCCTATTGATTATGTATGGTTTAGTTATCTAATTATTACAATGATGAAGATGGTAAGCCCTTCATGTCAGAGAAAGAAAAAATCTCGGGAAACATGCAAATCTCAATTTGCATTCGGACAGTGCGGGTCACCACAGGTCTTACCTAAAGAGAGATCTGAGCCCAGGATCAATATGGGTTTATAAGGCCCTATGTAAAATACTTCTATATGTATACATATATAGAATAAAAAATATTATTCATCATAATATGGATTCGTGAAATATAGATTATAACATCAGAAAGATAAGGAAAATGTTATCGACATGAACCCCAAATTTTTTGTACATACATACATAAGCTCACTTCCTAGTCCAGTATCCTGACACAACTTTCGGGCCTCATGTCACTTCGGATCCTAGCTTTTTTGAGGACATCACTGTACGTCCTTCTGGGACGTCCTCTTAAAGCCCTTCCATCCACATTCGCATCATAAATCTGTTTGGTAATTGTTCGTACATCCATCCGCTCTACATGCCCAGACCACCTCAATATTCCTTTCTCTATTCTAGTCACTACATCCTTTTTAAACCACATTTTTGTTTTTATGTATTTAGGTACTGTGCTATAAATAAGTACATACGACACAAAATAAAGGTAATGATCTGTAAGATATATTGCATTCAGTTGATTATTTTGAGTTGGATTTTATCATTTGCGGACATAGCTGTAATAAATGAATGAAAAACAATAAAGAACTCTATTCAAATTTACAAACGTTAAGAATAGTAGGTATAGCGGACTGTATCAATGGGTGAAGGGAAGGGTGCTAACAACGAGTGAGCAAGACCAAGAAAATGTACTTACAGTTTATTAATATTTTTGGAAAACACGTTGTCGCTATCAAAGTAAAACAGAAAAAAACCCACTAAAGTCAAGACAAAGGCGCCAAAAACAATCACGTTTAAATTTAGAATTTAAGTATAAAACTATAAGTTAAAGAGACTGTTGTAAAATATATAGAAAAAGATTTGTAGGATGTGTCGCATCCCTAGTGAAACATAGATATAATAATATAATTGTAAAAAAAGTGAAACAATGAAATTCATATAGAAAAACATCGAGTGTCGCTAACCTCTAGCTTTTTAATATCTTTGCTATGTCATCTTTGACATAGCAAAGATAAGAAGCTCTTGCTTTTGCGCACTACGTCCGATTCGTATCAGGGGGTCTACTCTCGATCTCCGTTCTATATCCGTCCAAAACAATTACTGCCAAATAAGCAATACTTGACCAAATGAAAAGACGCGTGATGCGAATGAAGCTTCATACTTAATACTTGTCTTTTAATTTTGTCGAATATTACTTATTTGACAGTAATTGTTTCGGACGGATGTCGGACGGCGATCGAAAATAGACCCCCAGTTCCGAATCCGAGAAAAGACAATCCAAACCAACAAGCGATAGTCGTATTTTCTCGGATTCGGATCGCAATTAGGGCAGAAGCTACATCCGAAATGGGTCCGAGTTTTTCAGATTTATGTAGTCTCGGATTCGGAATGAATACAAACCGGATGCAATATGCAAATGCGCTTAGTTTTTCATTATTGTTTGATTGATTGTCATTATGTATATATGTATAAGTATTTGTGTTCATTTCCGTTCTTTTTCTCACTCCTTTTATTTTCCCATACAGTTAGGCCATATCTGTTTGAAGTGGACTTCAAATAGATACATGGATTAAAAAAGGAATGCATGATTTGCAATCATCGAGTATATAACCAGGAATAGAGACGAAATGTCATTTAATTTGTTTGAAAACTATTTTGCCATGTCATTACCGTGACAACTGCGCTCCGATTGGCTAGCCCGAGATCGAAACAAATGACGAGTGTCGTCAATGGGTGTCGTCAACTGTTTCACTTCAAATGGACCAATTAACTTGAGCTTTGCATTATTGGACGAAAATTTTTTTTTTTTATGAAAATTGTTTTGTAATTAGATGTTTCGCTGTTTTTCCCACACCACCGAATAGAACAGCACAGCATTGTTAGAGATATTATCTTTGTTACAATAAATACAGAATATTTTTTGTAATATACGGAGACGTCCACACAGGTCAGTAGTTGGTCTGTCTATATTTCAGTGCAAAAGAGAGTTGATATTTATAAGAGCAATATCGCTAATGTGTTACCAGAAATATATGGCCCTTATTTCGTCTTTATTTCTGGTTATATACTCGATGTGTGCAATACAATACAACATGAAAGAAACATGAAAGAACTCACAAATGGACTCAGTAGCCCTAAAAACAAAAAAATAAAATTTTTCAATCATTTTCTGTAAAGAAGGATGGCGAGATCCCGTGTATTTTGTGACCCAGTGTTTTTGACGACGTGCATTTAGAAGATCTATCAATACTTGTGATTCATTATCAAAGCATCAAAAACTCTAATGGAGTACAACCTGTAGAAGCTGGGATTATAAAGTTGATTTAGGTTATGTTTATAATCATCATCATCGTCATCATCATCAACCCATTTATACGTCCCATTGCTGGTCACAGGTCTCCTTTTGGTGATGAGGGTTTAGGCCGTAGTCCGCCGCGCTGGTCCAATGCGGGTTGAGGACTTCACACATTTTCCGAGTGTTGTGAACCTTCTTTGATGTGCAGGTTTCATCACGATGCTTTCCATCACCGAAAAGCTCATGATAAATTTTAAATTAAATTTCGCACATAAATTCCTAGAAACTCAGAGGTCCGGATTCGAACCCACGACCCTTTGCTGCCACGGCTTTCTGTTTATAATATTGTCCTGTATTTCGTTTCAGATGTTAGTTCGTAGTAGCAGAAAACAACAAGTATTCACAATCGTTCGCCATCCTTCTTTTTGCAAATATAAGTGAAGTCAATGTTTCACCGGATATATAATATATTTTTAATCAATAATTGAATAATATAATGTATTCAGAACATTGGACATTAATATCGAGCAATCAATTTGTATTTATGCAATACTTTACTTACTAATACTACTACTTTTTAATATTACGGCTTTACCATCGCATTAAGCCAATGAAAGGGTTGGGAAAGCAGAATTACAGATTATGGAAGAGGTACGGAATTTTGATGAAAAAGGACATGGTTAGGTTGGGTAGGTTGGGTAGGTTGGTAGCTATTATATATCGGCGTCCATATTAAAGCTTGATATTATTATTTTCGATAAATATGGCCAGTACATTATAAACATATACAATACTTACACAGGTCGTACAGTAGTACTGATGAAATCATTCAAGAAGTTGTAAATTGTTGATCCAGTGAGAGAAATCAATAATACAACAATCAAAGCTGACCAGGCACGATTTCTTTTGCCTGACAATACCCAGAATAAGACTAGTGGAGACAGGATATGTAGTTGCATATCAATTGCCAAGTACCAAGTGTGACCTATGCACTGGAATTAAACAATATTCTTGAAAGAATCAAATATTTAACCAGTTCAAGTAATGATAATATACAGTGTTACAATAATATAGCGTACAGTGTTACATTAATAATTTTACATTTTCAGAATTAACTAAAAAATAAAACTGAGAAATTAAGCTATACGTAAGTAAGTTTATAAAAATTAGACATATATCATCCGTTAAAAATGTTAGATGGCAGAAATCACAAGTGACATAACGAATAGATAGATAAAGCATTTATTCAGCACATTACATCACAGCATTACATATAACAAGAAAATGAAGGTTACAAATTACAAATAATGCATTGAAAAGGTTTCGGCTCAGCACAATGCTTCCAACTTAATACGTTTGCAGCGCCGATATTCTGCGGAGACTAAAATGGTTGCCCAAGCACGAGCAACGAGCAGTCGGCGGCACATCATGTGCAACAATAGTATTACAAATCCTTACTTTTACATTATCTCATAAAATACTCACAAATTTAAAGAAATAGAAAATACCATATACCATACGTACCATTGGTTGAAAATAATTTTGCACAAGAAGTAATGTTGACCACCAGTTTGTCCTACAGACCTCAGTGTTGCCAGCAACTCTAGTCCAAATTGGACCATCATGAATATAATGTAATACACCAACTTGCAGCAACACCGTAGTGGCCAATAGAGGAAACATTCGTAGAAATCGATTGATGTAAAATAGATGAAGATTCTTCAATAGTTTCACTGTAAGATAAGCAAATTAGAGAATAAAGATGTGTTCATAAAAGTACTTAATGTTATTTCTGGAGTAAACAAGAAACCAGCAATCGCTAGACTCGACCGGCCATAGATCATTTTTTTAAGATTCGTTTCCAACAATAATAATAATAATAATAGTAATAATAATAACGTACACACTCAACATAGCCCCGCACTAGGGAAACCCTGTGTCGCGGGTGCCATGGACACACACATAGACAACCACAAATTACACCCAAACTCACGAGAGAAATAAATGTAAGCCATACAAACATTTCTCCCGGCCCGGGAATCGAACCTGGGACCTCTGCGTGGCAGTCCGGCGTGGTAACCGTTCGGCCACGGAGGCAGTTAAATAAAAATAGCCATGTCCATGAAGACAAATAATCTGATGATAAACCTTTGTGTAAAATAATTATTTTATAATATTGTGACGTAAAATTGCTCCTAGTCAAGAAATATATTTGGTAATTCACTAAGCATTGCGAAAGTCAACAAAACAAAGTAGAAACAAAAAATAGAAATGTCTAAAATATAAAAAAAAACTGCCTCTGTGGCTGAACGGTTACCATGCTGGTCTGGCAGGCAGAGGTCTCAGGTTCAATTTCAATATTTGTATGGCCCACATTACTTTATATTGTGAGTTTAGATGTAATTTGTGGTTGTGTACATATGATTTACTCAGTACGGGGCTATGAGTGTGTGCGTTATTGTAATAAATTCGTGTATGACGTAGTATCCGATAAAATAAAAATATATAAGGACTACGCTTTTTTATACGAACAACAGAGAGTCGATATTCTTAAATAGATACTTACTATTGCTAAGTTTCCCAACAGTAGTGTAGACAATCAGCAAACCGCTTAACGTGAAGAAAGTATCAACACCAATTGGTGATGCAGTCACCCATATTGAACCAAATGACATACCCCACTGCAATAATATAAAAACAACTTATAAGTGGTGTTAAAATCAAGCAACGATATAAAAATCAGACAGACCATTTCATAGAACGAATTACAGCCGCACACGGGCGTTTGGGGTGCTCAGAACTTTAATATCTCAAATGGCAGCAAGAACAAAAAAATTTAAATAATTTGTGCGTGTAATTACGTTGATTCTTACTATTCTATAACCCTTTAATATGGAATACAGCAGACTGGTGGCATCTACCCAGACGATTTATTTATTTACATTTTGTTGCACAATAAAGTACAAATCGAGGACGCGGTTTCTATATGGAGACCACCAATAGCAATAAATGTTTTATGTACTACTTATTCACTGTAGTCTACCAATTTTACTCCGTTTCACTCTACTCCACTCTGTTCTATTGTACTGTAGCAGTCTGGATCAGTTTATATTTAGAATTGTATAAGTAATAGAAGGTTGTTGTCAAATAGATATCTAGAAGTTCTGGACAAAGCTCTCAAATTGAATACTTGACATTGACTTGATAATAATTGAAGTAAAGTTTTATTTATGAATATAATCCTCGTTTCTTATTGAAAAGTGCCTCCTTTACAAATGGTGGGGGCGCCTTACAAGTGGTGGAGAAATTTTATACAATTTTATGGAAAACTCTCCGAAGGAAGGAAGAAGAAACACATAAGGTCGTAATTTTTATTTTTATTTAGTAGTTTATCCTTGTGCTAGTGAAAAGGGCAAGATAGTAAATGAATCGTATCGCGGCGCAGAAGTTTTCTGGGTTAAATGATGTAGACGAATTTATAAATCAGTTTAAGGTGATCAGCGTAATTATTAATGGTCAGATATGCAAAAAAGGTGCGTGATTGCATTGTATCTTGAGGGGCCAGCTCTTTAATGGTACAATGCCAATTTTTCGTTATACACTACATATGACATCATTGCGCAAGAACTAAAAGAGCAATTCTCCTCGCAAACAGATTACGCCCAAGAGTTCTATTATAGACAACAGATGCCTAACGAATTGCTGTTAAGTTATTATTATAATCTAGACATTTTGGCGACAAAAGCAAAGATACATGATGATGTAAAATTTCTCAGACATTATCTGATGACTTTGACACCAAATTTTCAATGGATGCTTGCTAGCAATTTGTTTTTGTCTAAAGATGAGTTGAGAAAAGCAATTATGCACATGGAAGATATATTTGATTAAGATTACAATGTGGGACAACAAGGTATCGAATTACCAATATGTTTTCCTAAGGATCACTCTCACTGTTGACAAGCACAGGTGATTCTTCACCGATAGGTGAACCCATGTCATATAGTTTATCAAACACCACAGGCACCAATCGTAGCGGATACACCACATCAAGTGTATTCACAAGCACAAGGGAGTGAATCAACGTGGATGTCAGCAAGACGCAGCTGGTCGTTCAGGGAATTTGTATACAGTTGATAGTCTTGAAGTAGATAGGGCACCCTTTATATCTCTTTTTATAATGCGATGCATTGGTCGATACTGATGCTTCGGTTTCAATAATCTCTTACTGTTTTGCAGAAAAGTTACATTTGCAAATTGATGATGCTCCGAATTTTTCATTGCGTGCTGTGGGCGGAACGCCATTATCAGTGCAGGCGTCCACCAAAGTTTCGTTGACAATCAATGAAATTAAATATCCATCAAAGTTGCTTGTTGTGGATGGTGATGAGGAACTTCTTAGTAGAAAAAGAAGTAACAATACCAGGACCATGAACACAAGAAAAAATAGGTTTTGAATAGTGATTATGAGTTGTAACGTGTCCGTTAGAGTCAAGCCAACCACAACAAACTTGTGGTTTTGAAGGCAATTTTTTAAAATTGCATGCAATTGAATTTCTTTAAACTAAAAAAATTACATTATAATAATAATTATAATACCTGCATAAATTCCAAGCTATTTATAAATGGTGGAAAAGAACCAAACGTATGCCCGACCACAATCCAAGCCATAGATATTGCTCTAATGCCATCTACACATTCTAAAGCACCGCGAACTGGTTTATACGTGACGAGACTACGTGAATTTGTGTATATTGAGAACGATAGACAAATTGTGTTGAGAGATTTAGGATCTGAAATGAAAAAAGAAATTAATATGAAAATTCACAAGAAGAATATTAATATTAAATATGGCCTACATTTGTTTCTCTCGTGAGTTTGGGTGTAATTTGTGGTTGTCTATGTGTGTGTCCATGGCACCCGCGACACAGGGATACCCTAGTGCGGGGCCGTGAGTGAGTGTATTAATATAAAGGTTGATTTTCTTTATATATTAAGATTTATTTTGGCATTAGTCGTACCGTCTAAGACATGAACAGTCTCACTCAAGTCACAAAGTAACATAAGTACATTAGAGCAACTTACCTCGTTTACGTATAACCGTATTCCAAATATCGTAGCTTGTACTAAGAATAGCCAGCAAACCAATTAAACTGAAAATGACACTGCAAACAAAGTCCATTTTTAATAAGTTGCCGAGATAGCTAATAAAAAGAAAGCATTTACTTGTGGTTTTCAATCTGTTCCTGACAATTAAAAAATAAACAAGTTTAACTGTATTCTCTTATTTCTTAACACATCATCATCATTAAACATAAGATTTTATACTCTTGTCGGTGGAGCATCTTCTAGTCATCTCTCTTATAAACCAGCTACTTGACTTCCTTATACGACACAACACCAGTTTTTTCCTTTAATAAGTATATTTAACTGCGCCTAGGTCGACCTCTTCCCCTCGATCGTTCCCTCCAAAATGGTCTTAAAGAAGTTGTCGTGTCGTATCAAATGTCCAATTATTTTCCGCGTCTATGATCTATAGTATTCAGGATCGTTCTGTTCTCGTTTACCATTCACAATACTTCCTCATTGGTTTTCTTTTCTATCAAACTTATGCCCTTCATCTTCCTTCAGCACCACATCTCCAAAAGCTTATAATCTTTCTTAATTCACGTTTCAATAATATTTAAACCATTTATCGGTTTTATACTCTAGTTTTAAACGAGAATAAATACAATGTACTTACATAGCTACATACACCGCCGGAGTCCAAGGTTTATCATTTTTGAATCGACAAAATTGTTCCTGATAACTGACCAACTCTGTTGCACCAATTAGATTTGATAACGCCTGTCTTGTGGAACAAGGCTTTGGTATACAAATAGCTACTCTAAAGGGTAAACCACCGATATTGATTGCACCCCTTCTAAAAAGAAAAAAAAAATTAGAGAGTGTTGTTTATGTTTGAAAGAAAATTTAAATATCTCAATATTTCCCAAAGTCGATGTATGATAGTACGTAGGTACAATGACAGTGCTACAATGTCTTACAATTAATAAAATAATATTTTTTTACAAAAAACTTGTACAAAATTTAACCTTAGCCAACAAAATTTAAAATTTATCATTTAAAGAGTATTCAATTCTAACAGAATTGAATATATAATACCTTTATTGTTTTTGTTGTAAGGGCTAATCGTATCGGAAAACACTTAGAATTTACAAATGTTAAAATTGTGAGGGCTATTTACTAGGTCACAGTAAAATTAACAAATTTTAACTTTGATTCCTACCTTAAAGTTTTTGAAGTTTCTATCCCATCCAGGGCTTGTAAATCTTTTCGTATTCTTTCATATAGATAGATTTCATTTTTTACAGAATTACCAGCTTTGTTTAAGTTTTCTAATTCATTTTTACTCCCAAAGTTAACAAGATTTGATAATACAATGCTTATTTGACAATACTTCCCATCAATAACCATATCATCGACTTCTTTGTTAATACCAAGGCATTGACGGTAATTTCCTAGATCTAGAAGATTACCTTGCAAAATCCCTCTCGGTATTCTTGGTCCTGCATCGAGAACTGTAAGTTTAGTTTATTTTAAAAAATACGTTTGTCTACAATCTCATCTGATGGTAAAAGAATATGTGGACAAGGATGGCATACACTCTCCTAGGAATGTAACATAAGTTTTTTACCACTTATCTAGGTATTTCGTGTATTGTGAGTATTAAGTTCAAAATATTATTAACATAGATATCGACTAGATTTTTGTCGACCAATTTTGTCATGTAATGTTTTTAATGAGGTGTACTGAAAGTCCCTTAGCAAGAAGTTTTGCCTGTGGCTACCAGGGACTGCGTATTTCTACTGCAAAAGCACTACTTTGGCACTGATTGAGAATGGAATTATTACACTTTGCAGTTCTGTGTGCCTACTTGGCGCTCATGCTTGATTTGGACATTCGAGGGCCATAGTGTCCACAAAATCTGCATCTCACGCTAGCTGTCTGCCCAGTTTCCATGGACTTATGTGCATGTCATCAAGCCCATTGCTATTATTACGACAAATGCTAGTGAGCCCGAGAACATCCGATATCTTGGCATAAATAAATGCCCCAAAAATGGTGCTATTCAGCACTACTTGGCGAAATAGCCGATAAGCAGTTCAGATGCACGAAACGCCATTCTGGCCGAAGTTATCAATGGTGACATCTCCGTGGAGGGCTTTGATTATTCTTGCGCTTAATTGAAGATAGACAGTGAGAGAAAAATATCATTTAGTACGGTGCCGAAATTGTCAGAATACACAAATTTTTCCTCGAAGTTAACGATCATATTGCAGTCATTTATGTTAGTAGTCGCAATATTGAGGGCGAAAAATGACTTTTGTTCGAGTTTTGAGAGTTTCAATACAATATTAATTTGTAGAATGATACAAAATGTTAATTAAAACATTTAATAGTACTTACATGTCATCATCAGAAGCGAATCGTTCAAAGTCAAATATTGTATTTGTTTTCTACACTCCTCAGCATCTAAAATTTCTTCGTATATATTTGAATCAAAAGTTGTATATGCGGTTTCATGTACAATGTCTGCCCTGTTATTTTGATCACTATTTGCTTTGTTGATTAACACCAATATGCTCAATATCACAAAAGTAGTTTTGATTAACAACATTTTATAAGAGTAACAAAACAAAATATCGATAAATTAACACAACAGTGATACTTGTAACACCTACAGTATCCTTTTGTTAATGATTTAAAGCATGGATTAATTCCAGTTTCGCGAATCCAAATAAGTTTGCGTCTTTAATCTTATCGTACTTCTAATCAAAATAGTAATACATCTGTATTATGTCGGTGTCAAGCATATCTATGGTGTGAAGTACAAAATATGACACCGACAAAGTCTTTGTTTTTAATGTTTAAAGAGATACCTGCGAAATTATAACTAAGTGCTATACGATGATTAATGTTTCCCTAGATAATTTCTTCTACAAATATATTTCTGGGATCCGTCGCTTTCATTGTACTTTTAAGAACTCTCTTAAAGACACAAGTATATATTTCGATTTATAATTTATTTTAGATATGATATTTAATTTTGTTCTAATTCTTATTGTGGTTGATAACATATTTAACTTTTAAATACAGTATTACATAGACGTCCTCTCCGTTACCAATTAGTTACCTGAAATCTTAAGTTTTCGTATTTTCGTGTGCTACTACACCTACCTGCGTCTAACAAATACGTCATCCACTACCTGAGATCCTGAGTCATCTTGTCATTGTTTCGTTGGCTTGATCCAACTCTCTAATTACTTTTCAATCTTATTACCCTTCGACTCTACTACTGTTCAACACTCTGTCTACCGACCCGAGAGATAGGGTTTTCCGGAGAGACTACGGGCTAGACGCTAAGACCCGGGTACAGCGGGTGTCCGGGCCAAGCCCTCTGCCAATGCTATGCCTTTGACTTGGGTACGGACTCGCTGGGGTTTGTGGTTAGCTGCGGAGATGGACATGTTTGTCTGCCCCGGTTGTGTGTAGCCGGGGCATCTGTCTCGTGAGCAGCTAGTGCATTTTAGTAGCGGTCTAGTTGAGGGCCCGAAGCTAGGAGACGCGCGGGTCACGTGACACAGGAACAGATTTGGTAGTGGTCTCAGAGTCGACGGCTTAGCTGTGGCAACCGCCAGTTGTGCAATGCCCAACGGGAAGTGAGCATGCCTACAGCTCCGGTACCTATCTGGAAAATAGGGAGGGTACTGTACGTGCTCCCGGGGCGACTCAAATGAGGCACTATCCTCTCGAAAAACCGGATGAAGTCAAGTGACAGATGTCTGTGACAACCCTGTACACTGGCTGATCTAGGGTCAGGACCTGAACTTACAAGGTTCCTGTGCGTGCACAGGTCATAGTGCCCTTCTCGCATAACCAAGAAGTTGATAGGGAGAGGCAATATAAACAAAACTTACGTAGAATGATGTGGGACTTTCCAACACTCTTATTTCTCTTCCTTTATTTCTTTTTACTATCTTCATATATCTGTAATTTCATGGTTTAGTTTCCTTTTGATAAAAGAACAGTGTTCGATATCAATGCCATGAAACTCAATGTTGATTATGCGAAAGATGTGTATCAATATGTGACAGCTGTGTTGCTCTGCCTGCCCAGAGAGGAAAACGGTGTGAGGATGTATGTGTACATCAAATTCCAGAACTATATAAATAAAAGGGTTTCAAACTATGTGTATAATTGTTTAAAAGTAATATGAATGAATGATAATTTATTACTCTCACAAGGCTTACTTAAGACTAAAATACAGAATTTTGAACTGTTAAGGACATTGTGAGAGTCTGGTGTCAGTACTAGGGTTATATCCCTGTATGACTAATCACCAGGCTCCCTCCCTCTAGTCTAAGGTTAATGACTCCTCTTATTAATTCCAGCTCAGAGAAGCTTTGTAAAAGTTAAGTGGAATAGTAATAATAAATACATACATATACATATATAATATGTAAATGATTTTGATAGAATAGTTAAAGAAGTAGCAGTAGAGCTCTTTCTGAAAAAGTTCGTCTAGAGAAATACTAACTGTACTTACTTATTTCCGCCGTCAAACTGTAATGTGAGCATTATTGCGTTCCGACTTTGATGAGTAAGGGTGCTGGTGAAAATACAGGCAGGTGGGACTTGTTAATATATTATTATGTCTCAGGGTGACGGGCGCAGGGGAAGTGCCTCTCAGATCTGTGCAATTTAAACCTCTGTGTGGCACTACAACTGTCATGGATAGGCGTGTCGTTTGTCACCAGGCACACGACTTATTCGTCCTGTCGTTTAATTATATAAAAAAGTTTGTATGAAAAATTTTAAAGTGTTCTCCATATTTTTGAACGATAATGAACTGAATTTAATACTTTAATTTAAGAATGCCGTGTCATAAAGTCGAGTAATTTAAAAATACCTCTGTATGTAAGGTTCAACGAAAATTAGCTGAATCTATTTTTGATTGTACTGAATTATAAATTATAGACAACGTAAATATTTTCAATAGGTACCTACTAACTGTTATCTAGAAGAGTGTACCGGAGTGAATGACCGTGGATCTGTTGTGGAGCTAATCTAAACAAAAGTTTTTCCCAAAAAGTATGATTTGTTATCTTTCCTTTTTATTTATTTTTGTCGAATCTTAGGTTATTGCGGTTGTTACACACATATTTGTTTTCAAGCAAACCAACATCCGCCGTGACCATGGTACCTGCTCGAAATGTTGGTTTGTATGTAATAAACAAATAAGATTTTAGATTCAAAAAAAGTGTTTAGTGTTTTTCCTTATACAGGGTGACAGGTTGAACGAAATAAATATTTAAACAGGCGAATGTGTAGCGGAGACCCATACCGAATATGTAAAAAACACAATACATTATTTTTTAAATATTTTTCTCTGAGAAAGTCCTTGAGGCAGTCCTCAACATTTTGTATGCTACCTTTACCGGCCTCTGCGCACGCTTTGAATGAAGGGAATTTTTTAATAGTACTGTTTAAGTAGAAAGGCTCGACACACGGGAGTTCGATTTCCTACCGCTCAGCTGTTCTGTTTTTAGTAGCCCAAATAAACAGCGTGTTAGTATTTGTAAAATGACGCCAAATTTTTTATCTTATGTTGAAGAGGGATTCTTTTTACATATTCGGATTAGATATCAGCTACTCGTTTGCCTGTTTAAATATTCACCTCGTTCAACCTGTCACCCTATATAAATAAATAAAGTTGATTTTCGCAATTGTCATGCTTCAGCATCGAGCCCGCTGTTAAATACCCCGTATAAAACAATGGACTCAGTGCTGATGATGCGTGGAGGCACATTTAATTCCACCCTTATATAGTAATAACAACAAATGTGATTAATAATGTTTTGGTTTATTTTATCAACGTAACCTTGTTATGGATTTTATGAGTCACATCAGTTAGTCGTTTTTATTGCTAAAATTACAAGTACTTGTTGATAATTTCCACATTCACGTAACGACTGATTCATATCTGGATCAACTTCTTACTAAATGTAAGTACGTAAATTGTTTATCAAATTTTTGTTTTTGCAAGGATTGAGATAATAAAAATAATAACGCACACACTCATAGCCCCGCACTAGAGAAACTCTGTGTCGCGGGTGCCATGGATACACACTTAGACAACCACAAATTACACCCATTCTCACGAGAGAAATAAATGTAGGCCATACAAATATTGAAATTGAACCCGGTACCTCTGCGTGGCAGACCAGCAAGGTAACCTTTCGGCCACAAAGGCAGTTATTTATATTTGTATGTCCATGCACCTGCGTATTATACCCAGTGACTTTTATATCATGCAAGAATATGTCAAATGCCTGTATACCATGAATTAATTATATCTGTTGAGCATTATATCGACTAAAAATCATTTCATAGTCATTTGTAGTTATACATTTTGAATCGCAACCGTCCAGGGCACCGACGATACAGGGTTTCCCTATGCGTGTGCACGCGTTATTATTAAAAAAAAATAATAATAAATTTATCACTTTGGTCCCTAGCTTCTTCCTGCTCTATTGCTAAATTCAATTCTAAGTCAATAATTTATATATGTATACTAACCATTCACTTTGGGACATGTTATGATATCTAAACGTGTAATGTTATATAACATTAACTATGTGTATTCACTACACGGTAAAAACAGATTACTTAGAAAAAGACAAAATTCTTTATACGAGTATGAAGACAAATTTATTAAATCCAACAAAACGATCCTCTCCCTATAGACGCTAGAGAATAATTACTTGACAATAGTAAAAAACGTCTCAAAAGTGTATTTTAGTTACTAGACAGAAATATTTAATCCAAGAGCAAATTAATTTACTTCGAGTCACAAAGCTACTCTAGATTCAACAAAATATTTATTTGTTATTAGAAATGTCCCACTTT